AAACCATTTCAGGTGACTACCTCTTGAAGCTCATGGAGAGAATGCCAAGAGTGTGCAAAGCAGTAATCAGAGCAAAGGGTGGCTATTTTGAAGAAACTAAAATATAAAACATGTTTTCAGTTATTTCACCTTTTTTTGTTAAGTACATAACTCCACATGTGTTCATTCATAGTTTTGATGCCTTCAGTGAGAATCTACAATGTAAATAGTCATGAAAATAAAGAAAACGCATTGAATGAGAAGGTGTGTCCAAACTTTTGGACTGTACTGTATATTATCGGTTATTGCATCGGTTATCGGCCATGAGAAGCAGGTAATCATTGGTTATCAGTATTGGTTGAAACAATCCATATCGGTGCATGCCTATTAAAAAGCATGTTCACTTCATGCCTTTTGGAGATCAGTTTATCTTCTACTCACTTAACTATTCATAGTAAAAGAAATTTTGAGCAGGGTAGCCTAAACTTTTGCATGCCACTTTAGGTTCAAAATTCCAGTATTGTGACAACACTACACCTGGATGTAAATCTTCTTACACCCTGGTATAAATATCATTGTTGGCTATGGACAACTGGGTGTTTGTCTCTGCCATCATGCTACATAAATACAGGTGTAAATAGCCACATTGGCTATTTCAACCCAGGTGCAAATAGCATTATTGGCTGTGGACACCTGGGTGCTAATAGCATTTGTCAAATAATCATCAGTTACAGTGCTACAAAATGCTGATGAATATTATGGGAAAATAGCCACAAGCTAGGATTCAAACTCAAGTAAATGAAAGGTTAAAAACAATGATATCATTTCTATGTATATGTTGTTGTTTTTTTACTTTGACACATCAGTCCTGCTAGTAGTTCGTCCTGCTGTGGTAGGATTAGTATGATACTCTGTGTATATATAACTCCACATTGTAATGTGCTCCATAGAGTAAGGGTCTCACTGACCTGTTTCATCTTAGCTAACTCTCGACGCGTGTGTTCATCATTTCTCAGGTCTTTCTTGTTTCCCACAAGAATAATGGGCACATTGGGACAGAAGTGCTTGACCTCAGGAGTCCACTTCTCTGGAATATTCTCTGCATCAGGCACAAGGTGAACATGTTGAACATGGAGCAGATGCAAACAGAATGTTTGTGGAAAAACAACAATGACAAAGAGGAAATCTCACCCAAACTGTCAGGGCTGTCAATGGAGAAACACATGAGGATGACATCTGTGTCTGGATAGGAGAGAGGCCTCAGTCGGTCATAGTCCTCCTGACCTGCTGTGTCCCAAAGAGCCAGTTCCACCTATAACAGGACAGGATAACAGGACTACATTACAACCAAGGACTTTACTACATACATTATTTTTTATTTATTTCATATTTTACCCCCCTGAGGGGAAATTCAATTTTTTCACTCTTTTGTCATTAACACACAGGTCCGGTAGCAGTAGTAGTACACATGCACAAACAGGACCTATACATGCACAAAGTGGAGAGATGTCAGAGTGAGGGGGCTGCCTTGGTCAGGCGCCCTGAGCGGTTGGGGGGTTTGGTGCCTTGCCGAGGTGCCTTGCTCAAGGCGGTGACCTCTCCAGCCACCAGTCCACACTCCGTAATTGGTCCGGACGGGGACTTGAACAGGCGATCCTCCGGTTCCCAACCCAAGTCCCTATGGACTGAGCTACTGCCACCCGTATTCAGTACATCAGTATACCTTTGTAAAAATTAAATGTCCTGGACTCTGTATGACAAATTCAAGTTTGTGAATGATTCAAAATGATCTGTGATTGTAGGGAAAAAATACAAATTGTCTAAAATTTAAGCACAAATTAAATCGGTGAGAGTACACAAGCCCTCACCGTTGTACACCTAGCTTACCATAAAGACTGGAAATGAGGGAAAATAGTGAGCCTGACTGTATCTATATGAAATATAAAATTGACCATTTGGAACTCTCTCCCCCCCCTGTAATCTGCAACGCCCCTTCACTGGACATTTTCAAATCCACCCTCAAAACCCATCTGTTCACCATGGCTTTTTAATTCAATAATCCATCTCATCCCCAGTGTACCATCACACAGTTTCTCTGCTTTCTTCTGTTGTTTGTTATATTTTTGTTGCTTTTCTGTACTGCTTGTGTTGTATTGTACTGTTCTGTTGGTGTTATTGTTTCATTACTATGTATTGTAAAGTGACCTTGGGTTTCTTGAAAGGCGCTATATAAATTAAAGTTATTATTATTAGTATTATTATTATTATTATTATCATTATTATTATTATTATTATTATTATTATTATTATTATCATTATCATTATCATTATTGTTATTCAAGCGCATGTTAGGGGCTGCATCTATTTTTTGGCAACCAGCTGCCCGGCTCAGTGACTTCCCAAGTCTTGTCATCAGCTGGTTGCATTGACAGTATATGACAGCTCCCCAAAAATGAAGCCAAACATCTGGATCAAGCTGGCTGCAGTATAGGTCATAAACAGGTCTTACAGTTTACATCCATGTCTGTGAAAACATGGATGCTTCACACACATCTTCCCCCTGACAGCCCAGAAGATCTATACAATCAGCACAGTTTCAAGGTGGACACCCAAGATGTGTGTCACCAATTCAGTATCTGACCAAATATTTCCCCTTCTGTTCCTGAGATATGATGTTGAGTTATAGCCAGAAAAGTGTTTTTTATGCAGAACATCATGATGTCACAGTGAAGCTGACCTTTGACCTTTTGGATATAAGATGTCATTACTTCATCATATCCTATCAGATATTTGTGTGACATTTTGTCGTAATTAGTGTAAAAAAGTTAGTTACGTCCCCATAGTCTTGTTACAGGGGGGCTGCTAACTACGGTGGCCAACACAAAAGATAGATTGCTGACGTTTTTGAGGTTCTTCTGTTGTATGTTGTGGTGTTGTATATTGTTGTTTCTGTGACATTTTAAGGTGCTAATAGTACACCAATAAAGGTGTATCTTACCTTATCTTATCTTATCTTAAATATATGCATGATTGTATATAAGTGTATGATGTATGGTGTGTAGGAGTATAATCATATGGGTGGATGTCTGTAGATATGTATAGTTTTTATTTGTGTTTATATATTTTTTCCTTTTTTTATATGTAAAATTATATATAGATATAGTTTTACTTTTTAATGTAAATTCTGCAAATATTCAGTCGTTAATTGTGAGCACGAATGTTAATAAACTCAACTCAAAAACATGACTGTCTAGAGCCAGTGTTTGGTTTGTCCGTTCTGGGCTACTGTAGAAACAAGGCAGTGCAACATTGAGATCTCTATAAACAAGGACCCACTCCCTATGTAGATATAAATGGCTCATTTTAATGTAACGAAAACACAATGACTCATATTTTCAGGTTATTATACACTAAAGAAAACACACTTATTACGCTCCATTTCTGCCAATATACCCCCCTAAATCCTACAACTGGACCTTTAAAACAATCCCTGAGGTTCAGAGCCTCAGACTTCACAGTGTTTCAATAGACTACTGTAAAAAAACATGAAAGAAAAACACAACATTTGTGAGTATAATGAACAGCTTACCTGTTTACCATCGACCTCAATATCTGCCACATAGTTTTCGAACACTGTGGGCACATAAACCTCAGGGAACTGGTCTTTGCTGAACACTATGAGCAGACAGGTCTTTCCACAGGCTCCATCACCAACTATCACCAGTTTCTTTCTGATTGCAGCCATCTAAAAGAATAACAACAGAACAGAGCCATTTACCAGCATCAAGATATGGGATGTTTACAGGCAAGTTCAGGCAGGTTGGAGATTTAAAGGACACAGTGATGACTTAATTTTAACCAGTGTCAGCTATTTTGTTTGTGGAGAGCCCCAGAAATTCAGTATGGACGAGGAAACACAAACTATTAAGCCATGAAATCTAAAAAGGCTCAACAAAAGTTCTACGGTGTATTTCTGTGGGAAAGTATCTTTTACATTTGTTTGCAGTGAGTGAAGCATGTTCTTTGTACAACCAACGTGAACATAACATGTTTGCTATGTTTTCAGCTGAGCTTAATAGATCTCTCAGAGAAATTCCTCCTTCAAACTGTGGACTAGGGTTGCAGCAGTATACCGGTTTTAAAGTATACCATGACATGAAAATGACAATTATCATACCGTGTACATTTGCTTATCTACGATATTGAAAGAAAATGCAACTGGATGGAGAATCTCTACTTAATTGTAATTATTTTCCAAAGATGGACTTTTTACACATACTTCCATTTAAAAAAAAACAAGATTTCAAGAAGGGTTGCAACAGTCAAGTTCAACTTTATTTTAGTTTTTACACATACTTCCATTTTAAAAAATGGTTTCCAGTTTCTATTATAGTAATAACACATTAGTTCAACCAAAAAAAAAAACCCCTTCTGTTTTTATTCCTTTAAGGGTCATTTTGTCTCATAATAATTAGTCTGTTATACCATGATACCGTCATATCTTCTGAGATGGTTACTGTACCATAAAATCTTATACCATTGCAACCCTTCTGTAAATGTGCTTATTTATCACCCATCCTAAAAACTTACACAGCTGCAATGTTTCATCATATCAGACCAAAAACAGCCTGCATCAACACAATGTACAAGGCCAATCTGAATTACGGATCCGTAAGTTTGCAGACACCTGAACACAGCACAACCTTTTATAATACTGTGAGGAAATATTTCATAACTCTGGATAGATAGCATGGCAACAACTATTTTATCCTCTTCCAGCTGTAGCAATTGCAAGATTCGTAGAATTAAATTGTTCACGTTACAAAACTGATCTACCAGGAATGTTTGCTTGCATCTATTGGACTGGCAAACCAATACTTTGCTCAGTGATGGAGACTGCGACCTCTGTGAGGTCCCTGCTGTGCCAATGCAGTGGCCTCAATGAAATGAGTGAGGGGGCTTCACTTTTTTATGTAGCACCGCTGTCAGTTGGAACACAACCTCAATCTCAGAGGAAAGATGAAGCCGAGTACAGTTCATAGTGGTACTCTGACATCAGCACACATCAAAAGCTAAAGAATGCCTATTAAAAACACCTGCAGTGTTTTTATCACATTTACTCATGAGATCAGCAAATCGTAAATACTGTAATTCCACTGTTTCCTCTGTTGAATGAACTGTAGGTTATATGATGTGTTTGGAGTGTGTCACAGGGGTCAATAGTATGGAGTCCAATTACATTCTGTGATGCAGCTGATGTGTGTTGCAATTTAGATGGGTGACGAATGTGACCTACTTGTGGCAGTACATGAAAAGTGATCACCAAAGTCAAGAGCATTCATCCTAAATTGTCAATATCTCTCATATTTCATGACATTACATCAGTATCTTCCCCAGAGTTATACCTCTCCTGTAGCGACAAAAAGCCAAACTAACTAGGCACATCACATGCTCAATGTCAATAACCACCAAAATACTAACCAACCAACTTCTATTTAGGCTTAAAGGCAAACATAGGGGGTGGGGCATTATTCTGATAAGTTAAGGTTGTTAGCAATAGTCAATTCATTGAACTAATCACACAATGATAAATCGTAACACAATAGTAAACAGAGTCATTGTTATCCTTTTCATCAAAAATCTAAATCAACATATCTTGGTTAAAAATTGCAATATCATTGACTTGATGTTAAAGGGACAGTTCACCCCAAAACCAAAATAACATATTTTTCCTCTTACCTGTAGTGCTATTTATCAACCTAGATTGTTTTGGTGTGAGTTGCAGAGTGTTGGAGATATGAGCTGTAGCGATGTCTGCCTTCTCTCCAGTATAACAGAACTAGATGGCACTCAGATTATGGTGCTCAAAGTGTGGGATGTTTTTTTTTTAACTCAACAACAATGTCTTTTTTCCAGTATAATGCACAAATATTGTATTTTACAGTTTCATGTAGGAACTTTTTTTTCCTATCGCACTACACCCACTGACCATATCGCTGCACCGAAGGAACCACGCATGTAGTCATGGATGAGAGGCTTCAGCTTGTGACAGCAAGAGAAGTAAACACTGATGGCATCCTGTCTGGCTGATCTGTAACATTTGCTAGCTCAGTGGTGCTAGGCAGTGAATGCACACTTCCCTTTGTGAGTCCATGCAACTGGCAAATATAGTTCGCTAGGAATAACACAGTTCCTACATGAAACTGCTCATAACAAGGTTTGTGAATTATCTTGAGTAATCGGGTCATGATTTTGGGGACGAGACATAGCTGTTGGGTTTTTCAAATGTACTTTTTGGTGCTTTGAGCACCACAAGCCAAGTACCGTCTAGTTCCATCATATTGGAGAGAAGGCACACAACTCTTAATACCTCCAACACTCGGCAACTCACACCAAAACTGTCTAGCCTGATGATGAGCACTACGGATAAGAGGAGAAATGTGCATTTTTGATTTGGGGGCGAACTGTCCCTTTAACAGTTGTTGATAAAAAGATCTATCAATTGAACTGCCAAATGAAACTAGGTTGTTGTTGCCATTTTTAATCCGAAACTGGTAAATGTTTTATCAGAATATATTCTTCCATATTTATTGAAGCTTCACCAATGTCGAAAAAAACTCAGTCAACCCAAATCGGACTTTTAGTGGCTGGATCTCCTAACGTTAACCTTACTAATTCGCATTCAGGTGACATCTGTACAGCCCGTCTTTCTACAACCACCTATATGAACTATAACCGCTTTATAGAATTTAATGGGTAAATATGAGGGTACACAACGCTGGCAGAGGTTTTAGTTATGATGATCTTTAAAGGGCATTTAGGCTTCTTAGCCACTTATCGTATCTGTGGAATGTAGCAAGTTTACGTTGCACTAGAACTTAACTTCCTAACTGCTATTTACCAATGATGTAAAGGGCTAGTTGTCAGCTCAATCTCTGGTGAACTGCTTCACTCTACTGATACCTTGTAATCGTGGTGTTACCTTAGTTTCCGTTAATTTTCTTATTTGGCTAACAGCAGTTTCCATTTCATCTGTGGAAGCTAACTATTAGCTTGCTAACTTTGCTTAGTTTTTTCGCGGCAGCTGGCCTCTCGTCAAGCTAGACACATCAAATCTTAAGGCCGCAACCTATTTCTTGATTCCAGTACCTACCCTGACATACAAAACAACGCAGTAGATACATATTCTGTGTAGATCATTAAACGTAATTTTACCGTTTCGTTAGAGGTCTTCGCCTTTCTTTAGTTTTCCCGTCGGACCTCACAGTCCCGCCCCCGACAGTGCCACGAAGATTAAACCCGCCCACTAAAAAGACGTTGCTGAAGTTGCATTACATCCTCTTCCTTATTTGCTCGTTTCTCTTTAAAGACATGAAGAAAAGTGCCACTGTGGCATGACTTTTCATAAAAACAAGGAACAGATAGATAGGTTACCACTCTGTTTTTTACGATGGAGTATTGGGGTCACTGGTAGAAAATACAATCGAGTCATATGCTTATGGTCAGGGTACCTTCATGCAGTTTGTTTTTCGTTTTAAACCAAAAACGAAAAAACGGAAATACCATGGTTTTCCCGTTCTTTCCTTTTTGGTTTAAAACGAAAAAACGAGAAAAGGGAGCCGTTTTTCCGTTTTTGTTGTCAGAATCAAAAAAACGAAAAATGACAAAACCAAATTCAAATAACAGCCCGACTTTGGTTTTTTGCAGATTAATTTTTTCATTTATTGTTTTGGACAAAAAGTAGAACGGCGGTGACATCAGAGGCGGAAGTAACTTCAAAATAAAAGACAGGAAGATAAGCTTGCCTATAAAACTTATAAATATCCTATAAAACTTTCCCATCTATCTTTTATTTCCACTTACAGCTGATGTTTTGCGCATTTTGAAAAGCTGCCGGCCATTGCTTTGAGGAACTTTTTATTCATAATAATAGAAATAAAATGTTATGATCGCAAATTTTATGGCTACAGTAAAACTTGTTCAACATAACGTTGCTGTTCAGAGGGAAATCGTCATGCATATTGTTCCCATGAAGGACTATAGGGATTCCCTCAAAGGTTGTGTTTTAATATTCATTCGCTGAATTGTTTGCAATAAAGTAATCGAGGATATAATAAATTATTGTGTGTGCCGCGTTGTTACTGTTAACACGGGTTTTCTCCATAACGTATTGTTGTGTCAGTGAAGTGTCAAGCTGATGTTTGTCCTTTTTACCAGCAGATGGCAGTAGGCCTATGGATTTATTTGCTGTCAATGAAAGCCTGGTTTTCTCTTAGTTTCTGTTGGATTATACAGACCTGCAATTCTTCGGATTATTGATACGGACAATTCAAATTATATGCAGCATATATTTACTTGTATTCTTTTATATTGTTGTATCACATAGGCCTATGCATTGTTGGCAGAGATGGGCAGCATTTTAATTACATGTTTTTAAAATGTTTTATCACCTACTATAACAATAGAAATGTCATACAAAAATACATCCTGTGCCTTTTTTCAAAATCTGATTAATAATCAATGATTAATCGATTTTTTTTTAAATATATAATTAGTGGCAGCCCTAACTGTATGCAACACATCTGATTCATATGATTTTAACCTGTTAGTGTTTCTTGCAATGTCCCTCACAAATAAACTAATAAATACATGAATACAAACACCTTAGCTACTTCTACTCCTTCATCCAATATCTCTGCTTGTGGCGGAAGAGGTTGGCGGAAGTCGGATTCGAACGGAAGCAACGTTGGTTGGCGGGATCGTGAGTTAAAACTGTGCTGTGAACAGATTAAAGAGACGGAGAAGCTGACTAGTTAACAATCTCTTTTTGGACTTTGGATTCGGATTGTGTATTGGGGTACTGGTGGATTGAGTGGGGAGTTGAGTGCGGGATATCGGCCGACGGCCTGTTGGCCCGGTATGACGGTATTCTAGCTCTGCTTCTGACTGATCTGCAAGTCCCAAATACAAGGGAGAAGTTGAGGCTTGCATTCCCACAAGCAGGGACAGTTCATGGCCACTCAGGACAGAAGCTATGGGGGTGGGAGTGGGGAAATATGGAAGACTGTGAGCAGAAATAGACCCAAAAGAGATCGTACAGCTAGGGGTGATACTTCACAGGATAGTGATATGGATAACACGCAAACTAAAGTAAGGAGGGCTGAGTCTAACAAGGAGGTGAGATTTAAAGTCCTGATAAAAGTCAAGAGTGGCTCTGGGTTCTCCTCTGTCAGCCCTCTGAAATTGACAAAAGAGTTGAAGGAAACCATTGGAGATGTGATTCAAGCTACTGTCCTGAGTAATGGAATGATTTCTATTATTTGCAAGACAGAGGCTCAGCAAGAAAAGGCGCTTAAAATAAAAAACATCCTCGATAAAAGAGTTGAAGTGATCAAACCACGCTCTGTCTATGAGACTAAAGGGGTGATATACAATATATCAAATGATGTGTCAGAGGAAGAGCTGCTGAGGAGTTTGAAAGGAGGAAATGTTATTGGTGTGAAGCGCATGGGTAAAAATGATAGAGGATTCACTCCTATACTTTTAACATTCAAAGATGAAGAGCTGCCCAAAAAGGTGATGCTGGGATACATGAGCTACTCTGTAAAGACCTATGAAAAGCCCCCAATGAGATGCTTTAAATGCCAAAAATTTGGGCATGTTGCAGCTGTGTGCAGGGAGAGAAGAAGGTGCAGATGGTGTGATGGGGATCATGATGGGAAAGAGTGCAAAGGAACAGCTAAGTGTTGCAACTGTGGAGGTAATCACCCAGCTTCATACAGGGGATGTACACATTATCAAAAAGCTGAGAAGGTGCAGAAGATAAGAAAGGAAAACAAAGTGTCTTATGCAGAAGCAGTACAGAGGGTGGAAGACACAAGCAAGGTGGGGCAGGTCAGAGCAGAATCTATCAATGAAAGGCAAATAAAAGGAGGAGAAATGTTTAACAGTGATGATGTCATGGTTGTGGTTAATAAAAAAAATGCTATTAGCATTTATGGTTGAAGCAATGTGGAGGGTGAAAATGGTTGCAAACAAAAAATTGGATGTGGCAAGAGAAATTACTACTGCAGCAGAACAGTTGCTGGGATTTAAGGGCATAGATCCAAAAGAGGTATGGGAGGCTACCTACTCACAAAATAAAGATGGGCACATTGTAAATGAGGGACAGGAACTACTGCTGGGAACGGATGAAGAAGAGATGGACAGCAGAGATGGGGATTATGATGAGGATTAACTTCATTCATAATGTTTTACATCTTACAATGGAATGCCAGGAGTTTAACAGCAAATGGGCAGGAACTTAAGAAAAGTTTAGAAGAATTCAGGGAGAAACCAGAAATCATCTGTATTCAAGAAACATGGTTAAAACCAAAATTGGAGTTTAAAATCAATGGATATAACAGTGAGAGGAAAGATAGAGAAAACAGGACAGGAGGGGGCTGTGCTACTTTTGTTAAAATGGGAATACAGTACAGAAGGAAAGAAGTTGAGACAGATTTGGAATGTCTAATTATGGAGGTATGGACCAATAGGGGGAAAATAACTATTGTGAACCTATATAACCCAAATAATAATCTGGAAGGGAAGCATTTGCAGGAAATAATGGACAAAATTAGTGCACCAGTGGTCTGGGTAGGGGATTTCAATGCTCATAATGAGCTATGGGGAGGACAGAAAAATGAAAGAAATGGAATTATGATACAGGAGTTTATGGATAAAAATAATCTGGTAGTGTTGAATGATGGTCAACCAACATGGTTTAGGGAAACTCATTCCATTTCATCCGCAATAGACATCACAATGTTATCAGCAGAATTAGCAGCAGTAAGTGGATGGGAAGTAATGGACCAGTATGCAATGGGGAGTGATCACATACCAATTATAAGCAAGTTTGGAAGGTGTTTGATTGAGGAACCAGATAACCTTGCAATGGGATTTAACTTTAAAAAAGCAAATTGGATAAAATATCAGGAAAAATTAAATGAAGAAATAGGCTTGATAGACAGTGAACATTGTGTAGAGGAATGGAATAGATCTTTCTCCAAATATATATGGTCAGTAGCAGTAGAGACGATCTCTAAGAAGAAGGTCCCTAGAAGAGGCTCTATGGTCCCTTGGTGGAATGAAGAGTGTAACAAAGCTGTTCATGCCAGGAATAAAGCATACAAGAAACTAAAAAGGTACCCATTAGAAAGCTATGCATTTGAATATAAGAAGTTGAGGGCCAGAGCCAGAAGGGTCATAAAAGAGGCTAAGAAAAAAAGCTGGAGAGATTTTTGCTGAAAGCTGGGGCCTGAGACCTCTACAAAGAAAATCTGGAACTTAGTTCGCAGAATGTCTGGGGTGTGCAGGCAGGGCAGACTACCTGTTCTTTGTCATAATGGAGAGGAGGCTATAAACAATAGAGAGAAAGCAGATATGTTAGTAAAGCAATTTCAAAAAGTTCATAGCTCAGACAATGTAAGCGAGGAAAATAAAAGAATAAGGCAAGAAGCAATAACAAGGAAAATTGATAAACTGCAGGGAAATAATGATAATTCAGATGCTATCAATAGTTATTTTACATTAGATGAGCTAAAAAGAGCTGTAAATCAAGGTAAGGATACAAGCCCAGGTAGAGATGGACTAGAGTATCAACTGTTTAAACATGCAGGAGTTTTTGTTTTAGAGGAATTGCTAGCACTTATTAATAGTGTGTGGGGGTCTAGCAAATTACCCAAAGAATGGAAACATGCAGTAATAATCCCAATTTTAAAACCAGGGAAAAAAACCGAGTGATCCAAGTTCTTATTGACCAATAGCTCTGACATCAGTAGTATGTAAAATCATGGAGCGTATGATAACATCCAGATTAGTGTATATGTTGGAGAAAAGAGAATACTTTGTGCCATACCAGAATGGGTTTAGGAAGGGTCGTTCAACAATGGACTCAGTCATGAACTTGGATTTAGATATAAAGAGAGCAATAGCAAACAAAGAAGCAGTTGTAGCAGTGTTCATTGACATCGAAAAAGCATATGATATGTTATGGAGAGAAGGACTATTAATCACTTTACATGATGTAGGTGTAAGAGGAAGACTTTTTAATTGGATTAAGGATTTTTTATGCAACAGGACAATATAGGTCAAAGCTGGTAGTGTGTTATCTGAAGAGGTGGAAGTGGAGAATGGCACGCCCCAGGGAAGTGTGATCAGCCCTGTGCTCTTTAACATTTTAATCAATGGCATATTTAGTACAGTGAGCAAGGATCTAGGTTTGTCATTATTTGCAGATGACGGAGCTATTTGGAAGCGAGGAAGGAATCTCAGTCATATCTTCAATAAAATGCAAGAAAGCCTGGATAAAGTGGTTGATTGGACTAAAAAATGGGGATTTAAAATCTCTATAGACAAAACAAAGTTCATGGTGTTTGGATATAAAAAGAAAATGCCAGATAAAGGTTTGATGATCAGTAGTCATATTCTAGAAAGGGTTCAGAGTTTTAAGTATCTCGGAATGTGGATGGATGAAAGAGCGACATGGAAAACACATGTAGAGAAAACTGCGCTTAAATGTGAAAAAGTAATAAATGTTTTAAGATGTCTGGCAGGAACTGATTGGGGGGCTGACAGAGAAACCATGCTGATGATCTACAGAGCAATGATTCGATCTTGTATAGACTATGGGTGTGTAGTATATGGGTCAGCAGCACACACAACACTGAAAGCACTGGATATTGTGTAAGCAAAAGCCTTAAGAATATGTAGCGGAGCATTTCGAACTACCCCAGTTTCAGCTTTATTGGTGGAAATGGGAGAAATGCCATTGGGAATAAGGAGGGTTAAGCTTGGGCTCAAATATTTGATGAAAACAAAAGGGCAAGATGAGTCTTTTCCAACTAAAACACTGCTAGACCAACATTGGGAATTTGGGGGGAGGAAAAGAAGAATTAAAGTTAATTTTGGAGTCAAGCTAAAAGATAATGCAGGAAAAATAGGCATTCTGGAGAAGAAAGTATCTCCCCCAGTCTGCTGGTCAACTGTTCCACCATGGCTTTTTACAGAACCTGAGATTGATATGAGATTTTTAAATAGTAAGAAGAGGGAAAAGGACGAAAACATCGTTAATAAAATTCAAAAGCACTTGCAGCAAAAATGGAGGTCACATTTACAGATATATACAGATGGGTCAAAAGAACCAGAAAGCGGGAGGGTGGCAATTGGCATAGTAATCCCCCAGTTAGAAGTAAGAAAAGGCTATAGGATATCAGATCACACGTCAGTATACACAGCAGAGATGATGGCAGTTTTGAAGGCTCTTCAGTGGGTGGAGGACAATAAACCAAGTTTTACAGTCATATGCAGTTATTCAGCAGCAACTATACAGACTATAAAAGAGGCACGTTCCAAGTCCAGACCTGACTTAATAACAGTAATGTGCCTAATATTGTATAGAATTAACAAAATGGGGTGTGAGGTGGGGTTCATCTGGGTACCAGCACATGTGGGCATACAGGGAAATGAGGAAGCAGACATTGTGGTTAAAAACGCAATAAAGCAGGAAAAAGTAAAATTGGAATTGGATTTTGGACCACCAGAATACTCATCTGTAATAAACCAGGCAGCAAAGGAAATGTGGCAGAACTCATGGGATAAGGAAAGCAAAGGCAGGATATTTTATAATATACAAAAGAACATAGGGAAAAGCAATAATTGCTTTGGTTGCAGCAGGAGAGACGCTGTAGTTATCACCAGTTATAACCACTAGATGCGTCTAGTCTGCCAAAACCAAAGAAGAAGAAGAATATCCGCTTGCATTCAGGTCAAAGGAAGTTGATGTGTATGAGCCAATAAGCGGCGGGATGATGATCATGACGTTTGCTATTGGCTGGTTCAAAAAGAAGGCGTTTTAAGCGCTAACGGTTTCAGTTTGAGTTGTGTCGCCTTTGGAATAGACGGTTTTGGTAAGCTTTTCAATCGGACTTATTTTATTTATTTCGTAATAATGTTACATCGGTAATTGTTTCCTTAAGTTCTGATTTCCCGTTTACTTACTTAGATAATCACACGACTGTAGCAATATTTCATGTATTTATTGGAATTAACTGATTGTTAGATAGTTGTAATTCTACTAAACGTATGCTTATGATGGTAAGTAACGTTAGCTCAACGTTATCTTGCCAATTCTCCCTTCGTCACGTTACTTGTGTATTACAGCTCATACGAAGAAAATACGACTAACTTCTACCTGGATCACCACAGCAGTTTACATTTTCTTATCCGCAGAAATTAATGAGTTATTTTGCGAAGCCTTTCCCAGATGTAACGTTGACCTAGCGTTAGTTAAAAGAGATCGCTAACGTTAGCTTGGTTGATTAACTTCAACCGTTCGCAGACGTCCCACATGGATCTCTTTTCATTTACAATTTGCTGTTTTTGCTGGTTCTTGTTTAGGTACGCTGTCGAATAACACATTTGAGATTATGGCCGAAAGCGACTCTGGCGATGCCTCTGAGCGCTACGAATATGACGCCCCGTCCCATGTTGTCGACTTTGTAGAACTGGCGAATGCAAAAAATGAAGATACGTGGTTTGGTAAGTTTCCCTTCAGTGATTTTTATCACACTGCCATTTAGTTAATTTGTGGAAACTGTAACGTTAACGTTCGTCAACATTTCCCAATTCTTTATTTTGCCCGCTGACATTGTAAGCTCAAACAATTTAATGAGAATGAGATTTTCCTTTAGTGTTAGGTAGTCCTGCTTCAGAGACCGTTTTCACGGCAGACATTTTGACATGCCATAGTAGGAAAAACACGGGTGTGTTTAATAACATTAACGAAGGCTGCATTGTACTTGGGGGGGGGGGCGCTTACATTGTGCATCCTGGTTCACTGGAACAGCCTACCGGGACACGTAACAGAACTAAGCCATAGTATCGTCAATGTTAGGAATTTTACCTGTGCCTTTCCAACTATGACAAGTCAAAATGTCTGCTGTGAAAAAGCTCTACTCGAGAAAATCAGTGTGTCTCAAATCGCACACTTCTGTACTAAACACTGAATGTTTTGAGTGCTGAGGGATCAGAAGTAGAAAAAAGGTGGTCCCACTCAGATGGTCAGGAGGACTGTGTTGACCCATTCAGTTTGACGCGCTTTACCATGTAGATCTGAATGGGGTATTACTGTTTTTGTTTTTAAGCAGCGTGAGGATTGGCAAAACAGGGATACGGATTATTTTTTGAGTGATAATATAATATTAGTAGTGTTGCTACAGGCCGAAATGCCATGGAAACTCACAATGAAAGCTGTGTGTTTTGGAGCAGAGTAACCAATATTTAGGTTAAATTAACTATCAAAGAATCTGTAAACGGAGTCTATCTTCTTGATCTCTGACTGTCTTATGTGCAGAGCAACAGATCAGTGCAGCAGATGGCCATCTTAAAACTCCTCTGAGGCCTAGCCTACCCTTTAGGAGAAGCCATGGACCTGACCTTCCAAGAGCCATCGTACCTCCTCAAGTCAAGACTGATGAGGAATCCGGTTGGTTTTTGTTGCATTATTGCTAATTACTGAGGATACACTCTTAATTTTTTAATAAGATTCTTGCTCTTTCTGCAGTCAGTAACTGCAGTTGACTTGGATTCACAGTAGTCAATACTGCAAGTTTGAGTGAAGATTCTTAAAATAAGCACCAGTTTGACTGTTATTTCCTAGATTGCACACATGCAAAAGCACAATTAAGGGAGATGTATAAAAAAGATCTATTTGGCAAATAAACTCTTCAAATATGTAAATGAAAGACACTTGGATAGCTTTCAGACTGAATGTAGTTCTCCTCTTCATCCCAGCCCAGTAAACTTTGTGTTAAATGTTGATACTGAATAGGTGGAACTGGATCCTTTATGTATTTACAATAACTGTTTAAAGCTGAACACTTGTGTGGACCTGTAGATTAGTCTGCAGTCAGTATTCACTGAATAGTCATCATGACGTTAATCTACATGGACGATCAATATTTCAGGTCCCAGTGCATCCACATCTCAACCTTCAAATCTTGTCACGTCCTGGGGTGCTGGATCTCCTGCTCGCACTGGTGCACGACCAAAGAGGAAGACTGTTAATCAACCCCCTGCCCAGCCACGAAGGTAGAGTCTTTGTGATGGTCAATCTTACACTACAGTGTGGAACTGATTTTAGAAATAAGTGTGCTACAATGGTGCTTAACAATATCTGATTAATCAGTGATGTTGATTCATAACGCTACAGATTTACCTGATGATTCTGGCCCATTAGTGTGGGTAATGTGTTGCGTCAAACAAACCACCCAACTGCATTACATCAGAGTGCACAAACGGACATCCCATACGGTCATTGTTATTGTTATATTGTCTGTTCTGTGTGAATGAATGCATAATTTTGCTCAGTGCAGTTTTCTAAATTGAGATTACAACTTTCAGTTTACATATTGTTTCCACAAGACGGGGAATAATCTGCTTGTAAAGATGGTCATATATTGTCTGTGGCTCTGTTCTTTGTTTGGGGCTTGGAGACTTGAAATGTCACAAAACACTGAGTGAAGTCTGATTGATAAGGAGTATGGGGAGGGTCTGACAAAAGGTGCTATTGAGTTGCATCATGGAAAAAGTAGAATCAAGTGTTTTGGGGACTTCACCTATACTTGAGATTAAATGTGCACATTTCTCATGAATTTATTCATTTTAGGGTTTCAAAACGTAAAGAGATGAGCAGTGCTCCAGCTCCACCACCATCAAAGAAACACAAAAAGTAAGTGTCAAAACTGTCCTGTTGTGTCCTCAAGATGCCCTTTACCGCAGTAAAGCTGGATTTATACTTATGCGTCAACTCTATGCAGAACCTACGTACATGGCCTATACCTTTTTTTGTGAGCATTTATACTTGCATGGTGGTGTGTCTGTCACTCTACAGTTAAACCTCTAAAACACTTGTTGGCGGTGTGGATTCTGTGAAGTGCTGTTAAGTTTACAAGTACAGTGAAATAAAAGTAAATAAAAGCTTTGTTTCCACTGAAAGGAAGTGTTTTTCAGCTTACAAAAGTAGCACAGAGGTCTGCGTCACCACAACGTGTAGTTATATTTCTGGGGAGGTGTACGTCGGGCTATAAATCCTGCTTAAGTCCTCTGGCCCTGAAAACAGGGTGTCTGCAAGTCTTTAAAAAGTCATAAAATTTCTTAAATTCAATTATATGAATATTAGGCCTCAATGTCATTAAATAGTAATTTATCCACCTTTAATTTCTTTTTGCCAAAGTAAGTCACGCTCTTCTGTAAAAACCCACGTTTTCAATGTTACAAATCTTTGAACTTTCCACTAAACCTCATAGTGTCTTTTTATACTCTCACTTACCTGTTGGCAAAATGTAGCTTGATCTAGCTCACTATGATAGCCATATTCCTTCATGCAACTTTGCCTCTGCATCAGAAGACGATGATTCAACCAGTTTTAAATTTGGTTAAAGTATCACAAAGAGGTCTTGAAAAGCATTAAACTAAGTGTGCGACATTTGTAGACACCCTGGAAAAGCCACTGAATAGACTGTACAGGGCCAGTATCAGCGAGATCAAGAGATAATCAAGAGATTAGGGATGTTCCTGGCGGCTAATTTCCCTGGCGACTAAACGAAAATTTTAATTAAGACTAGGTGATGAGTCTATAAAGAGAAACACTCAGAATAGTCAAAATTTAGCACAATGTATTAAGTATTTGAAACATTGCCCAAAAAATATTGTGTGCATTAAGAGCCCTTTTCAAGTCTTAAAATAACAATCTTCAACAACCATGTCAGATTTTAAATACCACTGAAGCACAAGACACTTTGCGCTGAGCAGTATGAATGTGAACATGAACGTTCAGGCTCAACATATTCTGTTAACTTCCTGAAGCCTTTACCTTCAACAAAATTAAGTGGAAGCATATCTTGCACGGCCATTGTCATGATGAGCTGCGTCATCTTCTCAGACCCAGCGTGATCACAGCATCTCTGGGTGAACGATGTCAATTTGGGCTGTGAGGCGAGCACCGCTAACAGCAGCTGTCCATCCGTGCAGCAACACCCAAATGCACATGTTGAATGTGGTAATGCATTGCTCCAGTTGAGTGATTTATATGACAGTTTATTTTCTGACACAGCCCTACATTGTTTTCATTTTCTAGATCAAAGAACTGCCAAACCGTGCTGGTTTTGCGTTTTCCCCACCGCACCGTTTTAAAACTCCAGTCTACTTGATCATCAGCAGGGAGGGGGACTGCTGTTTGATGGCTCTGTAGCACCCACTAGTGGCAGGCAGCTGCATGGCAATTGGTTTAACCTACTAATATTTCTGGTGCTGACTTGCGAGCGGGCAGATGTTAAATTGTTCAGATGACTAATCGCACGCATCCCTACAAGAGACCTCGTCAGAGTCCTCACTTTGTATTACCTTTTTGTATCTGGAATTTTCAGCTGCAGTTGTCTGTTTCAGAACTCCTCCTGTTGCCCGAAAATCCAGAAGTATCCTTCGCAGCAAGGGGCAACAGAATACCAGGACTGGGCCTGTGACCCGTGCAGCAGCCTCTGTCACAGCAAACACAGAGTGAGTCTACCACTACCAGTGAAACCAGTGTTTCTCAGCCTCCTCCTGGAATATCTGTTTTATCATTCCATAACCAACTGAGATCTGCTGTGGGCTGCAGGTATCTCTCCAGTGTGACAACTATTTATTTTTGCCGATGATTAATGTGTCCAAACAGGCCAAGTAGCTCTGAAGAACAGGAGCTGGAGCGCATCAGGAACCTCCAGAAGGAAGTAGCTCTGCATCGCAAGAAGAACGAGGCCAGCTACAAAGCTGCTCTGGCTGGCAGTGAGTAGATAATACTGATTTCATGTGGGGCTGCAACCAGTAGTAAATGTACTGACGACATCCTTTTTTCTGACTAACAAGTTGTTTGTCACCATTTTTATGAGATCTGAAAGTTGTGCTTCAGGTTGACTTGACTTCTTGAAAAACAGTCTGGGTCATTTTTATTTCAGATCCACCACCAAAGAAGATGGCCCTGTCAGTGACTGTGCCTAAAGAATTCAACTTCAACACAAAGACCCGTGTTAAAGCGACCACTTCATCAAACACATCCCACAAAGAAGTGGACTTTATCACTCAGCTTCGCAAACCTTCCTCTCCAGTAAGTACTTCATTACTGACATCTTTTTTAAAGTTGTTGCGCAACCTGAGAGGCCAAACTGTCAAATCCAGACTACTAATGATTCACTTAGAACGTGTAAATGTCTTTGGATTCTCTGTGCACACAACAGGCAACTGGAATAATGCAGACTTCCCCCAAACTGCCTCTGTAGTGAAATCAAAATGTAGACATCCACACAATTATAAAAACTTTGGCTTCAGTACACATTCATTTTGAGTGAAACATTACTGCGAAAAGTGAATGTACACTGCCTAATGTTGTTGCTTGCCTCTCTCTCTCTCTCTCTCTCTTTCTCTTTCTCTTTCTCTNTCTCTCTCTCTCTCTCTCTCTCTCTCTCTCTCTCTCTCTCTCTCTCTCTCTCTCTCTCTCTCTCTCTCTCTCTCTCTCTCTCTCTCTCTCTCTCTCTCTCTCTCTTTTTTAGGCAAAGACTATGAAAGGTGCCACCGTGCCCAAACCCTTCAACCTGTCAACAGGCAACAAGAGAGGGGTAGAGGAGTCTGCTGCCTACGTGCCCATGGCTCAGCAGATACAGCAGTTCCAGAAACGAACCCCTGACCGCTACCATCTGCACAGTCGCAGGAGTGTAGAGAGAGGTGGGTTTTTTTCTTTGGTAATTTACTTGTTTTATTGCTTTTCAAAAGAGGTAAATGCACCTATCTAGTTTTCCAACCACTCGACCAAGCACTTTACACTAAGTCACATTCTCCCATTCATACACTGGTGGCCGAGGCTATCATACAAGGTCCCACCTGCTACTCAGTTTTTAACACACTCACACACCAATGGAACAGCCGCGGGAGCAACATGCGGACTGGAGGAGCCGGGGGTTGAACTGACGACCTTCTGATCAGTGGACAACCCGCTCTACCTTCTCAGCCATGGCCTTAACATCACACAGAGCAAAGACATTACTAACAGAAAACAATAACTAACTAAACAAATCACAAAGTAAGAAAATTTGTGTTTGGTAGATTATTTCTTTGCTGTAACAATGCTTCTTGGCAATAAATCTTATACCGTTTGAAAGCCTGTTTTATTTCCCTTTTTTAAATGGTGCCACATTTGTAAGGAACATGCATTTGTGGGATGAGCAGCAGAGCTGAGTATGTGGGTTGCGCCCATGAAAAATCTGCAAAATCTATTTGCCCGTGCCACTGAGGCTTGTTTTGTTTTGTTGTTTTTTTTTGTTTTTTTTGTTTTTTTTTGGCTGTTGCTATTGACTCTTGTTTTGAGCCTCTGGTACCTCAAGGTTCCTCATCCTGTCGGCACTTAATGTGAATTTCCACCAAAAGCTTCATGAGCGTCATAAGCGGCTGGCAGCCATTCATTTTTCAATGCACGTTGGCGACGAAGGGCGACGGCTGCAGCGAGCGGCGCAATGCCAGCGACCAGAGCGTCAAGTAGAAGTTGAGAGAAGCTGAACTTTATGCAAATGAGCCGCTCCACCACCGAAGCAACAGCCAATTGCAGACCGGGATTCTCAAGTCGAGGCCAGGCAAAATTGAAAAAAGACGAATATGGAGGAGAAACTTATCAACACAGTCGGGGCTTTCCCGGAGCTGTACCAGCCGGTGAAATTCCCTGTGGAGTTGTCGGGTTTGCAGGAATCTGTGGACCCAGACGGACCGACAGCTCCGGGCCCTGTGTTTCCTCAGCAAATACGCAGATGCGGTACAAAGGAGGTTTCCGAAAGTGTGAACCATGTTGAAATCATAATAGACTCATAAAGGCTATATGACTGTGTTTATTAGTTATTTTAGTTGTGTAATGAAAGTCATGAATAAAACATAGTGAAGACTAGGGATGGGCAAACAATCAAAATTCATTATTCGATCATCAAAAAAATTAACGATCAATTATCGATTAATTGATAAGCGAGTATTTCAAAAGAGAGCTGTAAGAACTGTAAGCAGTCTTCTACAGATTTGCAGTCAAGGTTTGCAGGACGATATGGCCGACGGCTCTCTGCCCAGACAATCCGGAATAGACTGCACGCAGCCAATCTCCAGTCTCATAGGGCTGCCAGGAGGCCTGCCATGACTGCCCTTCACCATCAGGCCCGTTTGCGTTTGTGTGGGCAACACATGCACTGGAACCTGTACATGTGGAGGAACGTTATGTTCAGCGATGAGTCCCGATTCTGCCTACGGCAGTTGGATTGTAGGGTCAAAATGTGGAGAAGACGCAGAGAACGCTTTGCTGATTGCTGCACCGAGTAACATCTTTTGGTGGAGGCAGTGTGATGGTGTGGGGTGGCATCTCCCTCACTAGAAAAACTAGGCATGTCATCATTGGAGGCAATCTCGATGTAGAGAGATATCGAGATGAAATTCTGCAACCACTGGCAATCCCATATCTCCACAGTCTGGGACCGACCTCTGTCCTCCAAGATGACAACGCTCGCCCCCACAGAGCGGGGTTTACCAGAGAATCAGAATTTGGGAGTGGAGAGGATGGAATGGCCTGCCAGCAGTCCTGACCACAACCCCATTGAACACTTGTGGGATCAGCTTGGGCGTGCTGTTCGAGTGACCAACACAACCACGTTGGCTGACTTGCGACAAATACTGGTTGAAGAATGGGATGCCATCCCACAGCAGTGTGTGACCAGCATGAGGAGGAGGAGGAGGAGGTGCCAGGCTGTTGTGGCTATGTATGGTTCTTCCACACACTACTGAGGATTCTGTTTGTTTGTTTGTTTGTTTGTTTGTTAAATGATTAAATTGTTAAATTGCCAATATGTCTTGTTTCTTCAGACTTCAATCATCCAATCCACCAAACAAGAGTCAACAGCAATAAAAGCTGTTTGGTATTGGCAGAGAAGATTTTGCAGATTTTTCATGGGCACAACCCACATACTCGGCTCTGCTGCTCAACCCACAAATGCATTCCTTACAAATGTGGCACCATTTTAAAAGGGAAATAAACAGGCTTTCCAATGGTATAAGATTTATTTCCAAGAAGCATTGTTACAACAAAGAAATAATCTACCAAACACAAATTTCCTTACTTTTTGTGCTTAATACTTTTGTGGAACTTTTTTTACATGTAAACTTTTTTTTTTCTTGCCTGTTTTTCCTTATTGATCAGTTGATCTGATCAGATTGAAAGAGGGGAGCAGCTGCTGCAGAGGCGAGTAAATGCAAACTTTTAGACCCAGCGTGAGTCCTTAAGTTTTACTTTTTAATCAGCCTGAAGTTCTGCTGCTCGGTCTGTGCCCCGAGTATAGATAGACCTCACAATCTCACCATGCATGGTATAAATGTATATTCCAACAGTGCTACTAATGAATCGTCTAGCTCCATAATTAGAACACCAAATGTTGTGGCAGATGTTTTAATCATGGAGAGCCGACAGAAATAAAAAAAAAAAAAAATTGTCAGCAAACCCTAAGATTAGAATTATTTTCCAGCATTCTATTTACATGATGTTGGTTAGTCAAGGTCAGTGTCTTGTTTGTCACTGTTGATGCCAACACTGGTGGCTATTGAGGATGCTAACTTGCAGTACAATTAGCAAACACAGACAGACGTCAGTAATGACAAGGATTTTCTGAAAGTTACATACAGAACCTTTTTAAGGAAGAAGAAAAAAATCTATAAAAATATACGCAGGTTAAGAATTATCATTCACGTACCACCTGAATAATAGTATACATGGTAAGTGAAATTATTCTTGTATCAAAATGATATTAACAACCAGGGCAAGTATTACAGAACATAAAGCTGCTATTCAGTGTTGCATATCCAATAGTAATGACAGGGCAAACATCACATTACATTGCTATCCTTTACATCTATGTGTATATGTTACGATGTAAGAAACACCTGGCAAGATTTGCTGTAGCCTCTCACGTTTCTGTCCAGTTTTATTTTTAGAGGAGGTTAAAATGTTTTTGTTTTTTGTTTTGTTTTGTTTTTTCCTGAACAGTGGAAGTTCATGTGTCTTTAAATCACACTGGTTTTCTCAGGGCCATCCCCAGTGAAAGGTGATAACCTGAAGCTCACCCAGCCTCACACCCCTCGCCTCATGACCCGTCAAAGGAGCCGGCCACCCACCGTTAAGAGCAGCGCTGAGCTGGAGGCTGAAGAGGTGGACAAACTTCACAAGTAAGAACCTTTGCTGTTTCCCTTCTCCTGTTCCACCCACCAGGTTATTGTAACTTTGTTTAACTGAAAGTTAAAGCTGCTCACTGCAGTGATCAGCAAAATGTTTGAGATGTGGAAATTCCACACACAAGGGATACCTGTTGAAGGCTTTGTGGTTTTTTTTGGGGGGGGGGGTGTTTGGTATAATGCTTATGTTTCCCACTGGCTTTTTTCTGAAAGACAATATTCCTACTAAGCTCTTTACATGGCCAATAAAAATGAATATTCTGTTTACATGCAGCCCTATACACTCTGATTAACATGCTCTAAATTCTGATCTATTTCTCCTGAACAGACTGAGATTTTAGCAATCTTATTAAGTTTAGTGCAGCTACACTTTGCAAATGGATCTAATAAACTTGGGTAGGACATCAAGTTTGATGTATGCAGACATGATGATGATGATGATGATGATGATGATGAATTTTATTTGAAAAGCACCTCAAGGTCACAGTACATTAGTCAACGAAGTAATAAATAATGGATGGAGGCTATGGATGGCCTTGAATGTGTAAAAGAGAATTTTGAATTGAATCCTGAATTTAACCGGAAGCAGTGAAGTTGCTGGAGGACAGGGGTGTTGTGGTGGAATGACAAGGCTGTGGGGGCTGAGCGGAGAAAAAAAAGTCCAAAAAAGTTAATAACTTAAAAATTATGGCGAAAAGGTAGTTTCTTGCAACCCTAGAATTAAGATAAAAATATTCACAAACGAAAAAACACTTCTGGTTGCTGATAAGTAGTGTTTAACTTTTGATTTAACACTAAAAATTAAAACCCTCGGCGCACACTGCAGCGCAAGCAGACAGATGCGTGACTCAGAGCAGCATGTGTCACTGACACCAGACTCAGAGCGCAGCGGACCGGTGGAAAATGTCACCATCAGCATATTTTACATCAATAAAATATATTTTATCATTATTTTGTGTCACACTGTTGAAAGAATTTAGTCGTCTGTGTTCAAGTAGGATAATAGGTCTCCATTCATTGCACGTCGGGCTTTCTGTTTCCTTGTCGGAGATGTTTTCTTTTTTAATTACATGATAGCTATTCTCCCTTAACTCACCAGTAAAGAATATCTTTGTCCATTTCAAATAACCCATGGCAATAATAATATCCCTGTTCTCTGATTTACTGTGAAACTTTTTTAGGCAATTCATGCAACAATCAGACCNTGAGTGAGTGAGTGAGTGAGTGAGTGAGTGAGTGAGTGAGTGAGTGAGTGAGTGAGTGAGTGAGTGAGTGAGTGAGTGAGTGAGTGAGTGAGTGAGTGAGTGAGTGAGTGAGTGAGTGAGTGAGTGAGTGAGTGAGTGAGTGAGTGAGTGAGTGAGTGAGTGAGTGAGTGAGTGAGTGAGTGAGTGAGTGAGTGAGTGAGTGAGTGAGTGAGTGAGTGAGTGAGTGAGTGAGTGAGTGAGTGAGTGAGTGAGTGAGTGAGTGAGTGAGTGAGTGAGTGAGTGAGTGAGTGAGTGAGTGAGTGAGTGAGTGAGTGAGTGAGTGAGTGAGTGAGTGAGTGAGTGAGTGAGTGAGTGAGTGAGTGAGTGAGTGAGTGAGTGAGTGAGTGAGTGAGTGAGTGAGTGAGTGAGTGAGTGAGTGAGTGAGTGAGTGAGTGAGTGAGTGAGTGAGTGAGTGAGTGAGTGAGTGAGTGAGTGAGTGAGTGAGTGAGTGAGTGAGTGAGTGAGTGAGTGAGTGAGTGAGTGAGTGAGTGAGTGAGTGAGTGAGTGAGTGAGTGAGTGAGTGAGTGAGTGAGTGAGTGAGTGAGTGAGTGAGTGAGTGAGTGAGTGAGTGAGTGAGTGAGTGAGTGAGTGAGTGAGTGAGTGAGTGAGTGAGTGAGTGAGTGAGTGAGTGAGTGAGTGAGTGAGTGAGTGAGTGAGTGAGTGAGTGAGTGAGTGAGTGAGTGAGTGAGTGAGTGAGTGAGTGAGTGAGTGAGTGAGTGAGTGAGTGAGTGAGTGAGTGAGTGAGTGAGTGAGTGAGTGAGTGAGTGAGTGAGTGAGTGAGTGAGTGAGTGAGTGAGTGAGTGAGTGAGTGAGTGAGTGAGTGAGTGAGTGAGTGAGTGAGTGAGTGAGTGAGTGAGTGAGTGAGTGAGTGAGTGAGTGAGTGAGTGAGTGAGTGAGTGAGTGAGTGAGTGAGTGAGTGAGTGAGTGAGTGAGTGAGTGAGTGAGTGAGTGAGTGAGTGAGTGAGTGAGTGAGTGAGTGAGTGAGTGAGTGAGTGAGTGAGTGAGTGAGTGAGTGAGTGAGTGAGTGAGTGAGTGAGTGAGTGAGTGAGTGAGTGAGTGAGTGAGTGAGTGAGTGAGTGAGTGAGTGAGTGAGTGAGTGAGTGAGTGAGTGAGTGAGTGAGTGAGTGAGTGAGTCTTTCTCCTTAACTTTAGCTTATATTGGAGTTATGCTATGTAGCGTGTGAAACAGAGTATGGTGAATGTGCTAGGAAAGTTAGTATCGGTACTGCTTCTACCTGGAGCTTGCATGTACGGAGCCTAGGTTTGGTTGAAGGTTGCAGTGTTGTTTGGGCTGAGAAAGCCATGTGTAAAGTAAAGGAGGTTGTTGGGTCGGTGTGGGGAGCAGTGAGACCTGGCATTAGGGGAGTGTCTCTGGGACGCCAGAGATCACTGTCTAGCCTCCTGGAGGTGTCGTGGGACCAACTAGACGAAACACTGGTGAAAGGAGGTTCCCACCCGATGACCCCAAAGACATGCTAGTTATCACTGCTCACTGGTTTGTATAGTTAAGCCTTGCCATAATAGCTTATCATAGGGCTTAGGAGGTTATTCACTGAGTGCTGATCCTTTCTCTAGAGCACAAACTTCTTGTGTTTATTTGAATTAATATGAGAGTGGAAGGATAGTGTGCTGTCAAGGATGACATCCAGACTCTTAACCTGAGGGTTGGGGGAAACGGAGGAGCTGTCAATTTGGAGGAAGAAAATGATGACGGCGCCTACTGAAAAGCAGGCTACAGCGTACAATGCAATAGCTTCCCTTACTGAGTGCGCAAGGATGCTGCACAGGTTACTACTTCAACTTTGAAGCACAACATAGGTGGTCACGTTATGAAATAACCTGAAAGTTTTGTGGGCACTGTATCCTGTGGTGTGTCTGTGTGTTTGCCAGCTGGTAGGTTGCTCACCTGACTAATGCAGCTACGCTGTTATTTCCTTCCATGCTTCGCCCTTCTTGTAAGAGCTGGAACATCATACAGGCAAGGCTTCTGCTACCACAACTCCACAAGGTTTTCCTCTTTGCTGGAACCCCACACATTTGTTATAGCACGTTTTGCCCCCATGGCAAGCTGCTATCAGTTTGTTGGTTTGGGTTTAGCACCAGTGCTGCATTTCATGCTGCATTTATATTTTTTGCTGTTATATTTGTCTCTATGTCTAACCATTCACACAGTGAGATGTTCCATCCACACTTCTGGGGGGGGGGTGTTGGTGTGTACCCTCACCAGCAGTTTGTGGAGTTTAAATTGGGGGGTGGATAATTGATCAGTCAGTCTGATCAGAGCTGATCACATTGAGGAGCAGCTGTTTGTTAGTGAAGGCTAACTTAAGACCCAGTACAATGAACAGATGTTTCACTTTCACTGAGCCGGGCATTCTACTTCTGACCAGAGTACACGCACAACGAATAACCGAGTGCAGCTCTGTGCCCAAGTTTGCCGACCACTGCTCTAGCCTATAGCGCCTCCCTGTCACAGCATCAAAGATTCATTAAATGTGTTGTAATTACAGGTTTAAGTTCAATGCCTTGGAGCTGAACAGGAAAATACTGGAGAGCGCAGAGTGCCTGAAGAAGCCAGCAGTGAAGGAACCTACTGTACCTGAAGGCTTTGAGCTTCAAATTGAAAAACGGCTCCATGAGAGACAGACCACTAAGAAGTCTCAGGAAGGTGAAGAGAAGTCAAACATGTTTAAAGCTCAACCTCTGCCCCAAAAGATCCTGGAAGGAGTGGTGGTGAGTTGACATCCTGTGAGACTTTAAGGTTATTGCCATATGAATGCAGTACCAAGAGGATTTCCTCCTGTTAACAGGGTTTGCCAGAGAAGAAAGTTCTGCATCCAACTGTGCCAGAGTCTCCAGCTTTTGCCCTTAAGAAGAGGGTCCGTGTGGAGCCTAAATTTGAAGACGTATGGGCACATCTCTTCTGTTTGTTTTTTGTTTGTTAGTTTTCTTTCCTTGACTTTTGTTAAATCTAAAGTAACCTAACCTTCTTTGTTTTTTTTTTGTTTTTTTTTTGGTCAGGTAAAACAGCCCTCAACATTCAAGGCCCCACCAGTGCCTCATTTTGGCCTCCCCTTCCAGCCCAAGCTACCAGAAAACCGCCATGTGGAAGTCTGTCCTTTCTCCTTTGAAGAGAGGGAACAAGAGAGGAGGGTACTGAAAGAGAAGAAGCTGGAGGAGATGCGAAATGAAGAGGTGGAGTTCCACTGCCAGAAACTGTGTCCTCAGACCTCCTGAATAAAGACCTAATCATTAAACACTCCTCTTTGAAATTTTTCCAGGTACCACAGTTCAAGGCCCAGCCACTGCCAGACTTCGATGCCTTGGTCCTCCCTGAGAAGAAGAAGATGGAGCCCACAAAGCCCGAGCCCTTTAGACTGCTCCTGGATGAACGGGGAGCTGTGAGGAGCACACGCTGGGAACAGATGGTACGACACAATCTGTCAGTTTTTCCTCTCAGTCAACTCTGCCTTGAAATCCAGACCTGACCCCTGTGTCTTGCAGACAAAAGATGAGCAGAAACTGGAAGAAGCAGCGGCATTTAAAGCCAGGCCCAACACTGTCACTCATAAAGAGCCTTTTCTGCCCAAAAAAGAGCGCCGGGCTCCAGTAGGTAAGTCAGTTAACATGCAGAGCTTCACCACAGATCACTGACCCTAACCTGACTTTGCTTACACCTGTAACATCTGTACTCATCCTTTTACCATGGCCATGGAAAATGAACATTTCTGACATTTCTGTCCGGCCGACACGTCGGTCTGTTCAAGGAAGAAAGAACTGGAGGTCACTGATCAGTTTACAGCCTTTCAGAGTCTTTGAATCTGCGGAAACAGTGGTGTTGAACTGTAGGTCTGTTTGCACTATGAAAGGCTGCAAATTAATCAGTGTGCCGAAGTCCTTTATCCTCCCTTGGAAATTCTGTCCTTGAGCTGAGATGCACCTGATTTGGCCACGTACTTTAAGAGTGAAGCAAGAGTGCTTCAGCTTTCTGCTCTGAGGCTAAAGCATAAACTCTGTGTGTTCCTGTTGCCTTCACAATTTGTCTGGTACTAAGGAATTCATTCTTTGACAGTTGTGGAGGCCTTCGAGCTGTCGACAGAGCGACGGGCCCGGGAGCGGCAAGAGTTCGAACGGCTGGCCAGTGAGAAGGAGGCTTTGCGGATGCTGATGGAGGAAGAGATGAGACGAGAGGAGGAGCAAAGACAGAAGGAGGAGATTGCCAGGCTGCGTCAAGAACAGGTCACTGCAAAACAGTGTATTTGGAATATTCATGACATGCATTACTGAGAAAACTCATTCAGTATTACAGTGGTCATTGAGCTGTATTTTTATACAGTATTGCTAGATAATGGGATTGGTTCTGTAATGTTAAAGGGCTGCTAAAGGCAGAGTTATAGTTGTGCGTCACCTCTAGGCTCTGCATAGAGGTGACGCACATGCACATGGCTTATGCCATTATGAGCATTTATACTTGTGCAGTGGTGTTTGTCACTCTGCAGTTACACCCTCAAAACACTAAATGGCAGTGGGGTTTCTGAGAAGTGCTGTAAAGTTGAGTTAATTCAAAACACATTAAATATGGCTTAATAGTGACAATTTCAAACACAATGCGCACATCGGCTTAATTATAACTCCAAGATTCACAGACCAAACATTTGTCTTTTGTTGGACACATTTTCCTCACAAAAACAACATGCTAATGTTATTAGCACAAGCCTATGGCATTTTACATTGTATAAAGATTTCATCTACTCATATGAAGCTTGGGACAACAGCAACATTTAAAAAAGTTAACGTAAAAAAATTTTTTGTCTCCCTGACAACTCACAAGGTTCACTGACCAAACAACTGTCTTATACTAAACATGTTTTCCAAACATGCTAACACTCTAGCTAAAGTCTACAGCATTTTACAATGTATGAATGAGTGGTGATTTCCTCTACTCATATGAAGCCAGGATAAATCACATACAAGACTTACAATGCTATTTTGTAGGGACTTTATTGTCTTCAATTTATTGTTTTATCTGTGAAATAAAAGTAAATAAAAGCCTCGTTTCCACTGAGGGAAATGATCAGTTTACAAAATAGACAGGAGATTTGTGTCACCACGACATGTTACATTTCTGTACTTCTATGATGCAGCTCCAGCCTGATTTAAAAAGTGCAGTCTGTCTGATACAAGTTTTCTTCACCTCTGCAGGTTCACATTGCTCAGCCCATCAGACAATACAAGCCTGTGGCAGTGAAGAAGAGTGAAGTTCCTCTCACTGTCCCCCAGTCACCGAACTTCTCTGACCGCTTCCGCTTGTGATTAGCCTGCCTCGCTTCACTCTCTGTATATTTTTTAACTTCAGTGTGTTTCATCTTTCTCAAATGAAATGTTACATCTTTGCCATTGTTAGTTAGTTAGTAGAATACTGGCTATAAAGTTGTAAATCAATGTGTATTTGAAATGACAGAAGCTGTTTTTTACTCTCTGTTCCATGTTGAGTTCTAGATCATAACCATGTTCTGTATATGCTCCGTTTTAACAGACAAAACACTTTTGGGTTCAGTGTCTTGCCCACACTTGTTGAACCAGCAAACCACCCCATGGGTTCCCTCCCTTTCTATTTTTTTTTTTTTATATAACTTCTTTAAAATAAAGGATATAAAATATTACCGATGTTATCGACATCTCATTTGAAACTGACAGAACTTAACTTTACGGTAATATTCTAATGGTGGTAAAACACCTGAATTTGAGCTTTAAATCTGGAGCCTTGTGTGCTGCTGTGCTACATCCTTACTGCTGATTTATTACATAGAAACTTAACAGCTCATCCATCTGTGATAATTTTGTTTGGGAATATGCAAGAATGGATTACAGAGAAGGGAATTTCCCAGGAGCCCCATTCTCTTAAGGGTGCCCAGATGGCTCCAGGTCCATATTGTGGTTATTGATTGAAAGTGTTTTTTTTTTTTTTTTTTAATAATACAATATGCACTGCTACAACGCTAAATGTTGTATAAAACAACTCCTGCGATCTTGCATAATTTTGAGGCCCTGTTTTTTAGCTTCTTGGTCATTATTTTTAATGTGTGTGTGTGCATATGCTTGTATAGTTTTTAGTATGTATTACACTCATATTGTGCACTTAAGTTAATTAATTTGTGCTTGCACAAGTTACCTGTCTATACACAAAGCAGAGTGGGAGAAATGGGATTATCCAACTCTAATTCAGCTGCTGAAATCTGTAGTACTAAATGAAAATTAGAATAAGATCTCTAAGGCATGTCCTGCAATAATAACCAATCTTGGCCCTTACGTGCTCTACCAAAAAACACCTGGAAATATGGTGTGGAAAATAATGCAGATACTAGAAAAGTGCAGTGAGTAGAGTGCAAATCAACGTCAGGCAAGCAAGAAGCTACCCACACTGATCAGACGCAGCACGTTTCAGAGGCATCCCAGAAATGCATGCCTTGTCTATTTTTGATGGAGCGGCAGTGCTTTGCACAGAACAGAGCTGCTTACAGGCACCCTATGTGTACTATAGATAAAATATACACTGTTCAAAGAAAACTAGGGGAACACTTAATTCACACATTCATGCAGACTGTGTCCTGGGGGATCTCCCAGATCTGGATCAGGGCATCGGTAAGCTTGCATAATGTCCCATAGGTGCTCAATTGGATTTAGGTCAGGGGAATGAGAGGGCCAGTCAATGGTATCAAAGCCTTCATCATCCAGGAACTGCCTACACACTCTGGCCACATGATGCCGGGCATTGTCCTACACCAGTAGGAACCCAGGGCCCACTGCACCAGCGTAAGGTCTGACAGTCACTCTGAGGATTTTGTCCTGATACCAGCAGCAGTCAGGGTATCATTGGCTATGACATGGAGGTCTATGTGACCCTCCAAGGATATGCCTACCCATACCCCCACTGACCCACCGCCAAACCGGTCATGCTGGATGATGTTACAGGCAGCATAACTCTCACCACAGCGTCTCCAAACTCTTTCACGCCTGTCACATGCTCAGTGTGAACCTGCTCTCATCTGTGAAGACAACAGGGTGCCAGTGATGGACCTGCTAATTCTGGTGTCCTCTGGTGAATGCCAGTTGACCTGAATGGTGCTGGGCTGTGAGCACAGGTCCCACTAGAAGACATCAGACCCTCATGCCACACTCATGAAGTCTGTTTCAGTTTACAGACAGTTGGTCAGAAACATGCACACCAGTAGCCTGCTGGAGGTCACTTTGTAGGGCTCTGGCAGTGCTCCTCCTGGTCCTCCTTGTGCAGAGGAGCAGATACCGGTCCTGCTGCTGGGTTGATGGCACTTCTACGGCCCTGTCCAGCTCTCCTTGTGTAACAGCTGGTCTCCTGACATCTCCTCCATGCTCTTGAGACTGTGCTCGGAGACACCGCAAACCTTCTTGTGACCATACGTATGTATGTCCCATCCTGGAGGAGCTGGACTACCTGTACAACCTGATGCAGGTACCCCCTCATGCTACAAGTAGTGACAAGGACACTAGCAGAGCACAAAACTAGAGAAGAATCAGTCAGGAAGGATAAGGAGAGAGCAACGGTCTGTGGCCACCACATGCAAAACCATTCCCTTTTTGGGTGGTTGTCTTGCGTTTGCCTCTCCATTGCCCCTGTTGTCACTTTTATTTGCACCAAAGCAGGTGAAAATGATTCACAATCACTTGTGCTTCCTAAATGATATCCCTGAAGTAAACTGGCTTGACGTTATACTGTAACCATTAAGTGTTCCCTTCATTGTCTTAGCAGTGTAGTTATGAGATTTGTGGGTTTTTTTTTTTTTTTTTTTTTTTAATATTTTATTTTGATTTTTCAATTATAACACAAATCGCATAAACAAACAAACACTCAAACACAAATACATTATTAACATCACAAAAGTAAGTTGGACAATAAGATAAAATAAACTAAGACAAAACTAAATAAACAATAGTTACTGTGTGTATAAAACAGACAGAAACGGAGAAAAAGAAAGAGGGGGAAAAAAAAATAAATAAATAATAAGTTGAGAGATAGCTTTAGCTTTAGCTTTAGCCACAAAACATTTTTATACAATACTTGTGTGGAGGAAATAGACTACAAACAAATCATTCAATCATGTACGATGGGAGATTCTCTACATAGTTCATAAGAGGTTGCCATATTTTATAAAATACATTAATCCTGTTTCTTAAAGAATAGGTTATCTTTTCTAGAGGTATGCATCTATTTACTTCTGAGAGCCACAGTGCAATTGGCACTGGGAGATCTGACTTCCATTTCACTGCAACACATTTTTTGGCAATTGTCAGTAAAATTTCAGCAAGCTTAATGGAGTAGCTGCATTTAAGATTAGAATGTATGAAGTTTCCCAAGAGGCATACCTCAGGGTCCATTGGAAAATTGACTCCATTAATTGCAGATAGAACATCACAAATCTCTTGCCAGAATCTCTGTAATTTGCTACACTGCCAGGTAGAGTGAAAGAAGGTGCCTTCCACTTGACCACATCTGAAACATAGGGGTGAAACATTGGAATTAAACTTATGTAGCTTAGAAGGACTAAGATAAGTCTGGTGTAAATAGTTAAACTGAATTAATCTATATCTTGAATTTAATGTACATGTGACACCATTGTTACATAGATCTTTCCACAATCCTGGATCAATTTCTTTGCCTAAGTCCCTCTCCCACCTAAGCCTAAATCTTTCCGATTCAGGTACTAGTAAAAAAGACTAGAGATTTGTGTATTTTTGATAACTAAAACAGCCACAAATCTTTGATCTGTTATTCATAACTATGAATTTCATATTTAGGCTACAGCTCCTGAAAAAAAAGGAGCTGACAACACCAACTAAAGTAGGTCCTACAATATGGAATTCAAAACCTTCTATGATTAAAAACTGTTCCTCTGCTCCACTGCTGAAGTCCAGGCTTAAATATACTTTGCTAGGTGAATAACTTTGTGCTTTTTGTTACTGTCATTTTGTGTTTGCTGTTTTATCTTGATTTGTTTTGATTATTATTAATGTTAGTATTATTATTATTATTATTATTATTATTATTATTATTATTATTATTATTGTTATCTCAATGTTATGAAATTTGTTTGGATGTTTTTTATTTTCACTTTGCTTTAGGCTCTTGTGTTGAATTGGTGATGTACTGTATTTAAAGAGCTGAGGCCCCGTATAGGCCCATCTGGGTCTCAGCACCTTTATTTTGTGATGGCCATTTTTTTTTTGTTTTTTCTTTTGTCTTGTGCAATGGTGCGAAATAAACAAATAAAATAAAAAAATAAATAGACAAAAAAGAAGCCATTTAAGTATATAGCCTACTTACTAAGTTACTTTTGTAAGTACAATATTAAGGAAAAAAGGACTAAATCAAAACCTGCAAGTTTACAAAATCAGGCAGGCAAAATGCTCTGCTTCTAAAACGCTCCCAGTGTGATAAGACATCACGCGGAGGATGTAACAAAACCAGGTTGCAGGCAGATCATGGAGGGCAGCACCTGGTGGAAGAGTCCGTCCCAGCTCCCTTCTACAGTCAAGATGGCAGCGAAGATAACAAAAAATGGAGATTTATTCACCTCATACTGTGCCTAATGTGAGTGGACCTTATCATATTGGGTATGGAATTAATCCACAGATGCTCCAGTCCAAAATGAGACCAAACTTTTTTATGGATGTCAGTTTTTAAGCCACCACAAAGGCCAAAACCTGTCCTGCAGTAGATGGTAAGGCTTGGTGTTTTTAACCCAGCTGATTTATGGAAAACTTGTTCCCCTGCTGGCAGGTTCAGAGGAGTGAGGAGTCAGCAGTCAGTGACTGTATAAAACAGGTTTTTCAGCAACCGTGAATCACCACAAGAGGTCCTTGAAGCCACAGTTCTTAATTGACTAATTCATTTTTATACTGATTGGTCCAGTAGTTTGTGAGATTAGCTGCAGACAGACAGATACACAAAATCACGCACACACATGACTGAACTCATGATCCCCTCCAGGCTTATGGCTGTCTCTTCAGTCCAATGAAAACTGCTTGCCTGGCACACAGGCACACACACACGCGGTGGTGTAAGGAAGTCATGACGGGCCCCAGCACACGCTATCGTGCATGTATTTTTCTGACACAAAAAGAAACATGACATTGGACAACAACAATATACATGTTATCCAGCTGACCAAAATATCAAAAAAAGTAAAAAAAAAAAAAAAAAAAAATCATTTAATTAAACAATTTTATAGGTTATTTATAGATTTTATAGCTCATGCAGAAAAAGCATATACTTTTGTTTCAGATAGCTACTCAAATACTGTATCACTTATAAAATCCTACTTCTCACCTTCAAGGCCATCAACAGCCTTGCCCCTCAGTATCTTGCTGAGCTCCTTCACATTAACATACCCAGCCATACTCTCACATCCTCCTCCTCCATTCAACTCACCATCCCAAGAGCCTTCAGCTGCTCGGCCCCCCGCCTCTGGAACTCTCTACTGCAGGACATAAAACACTCAGACTCCATCACCTCCTTCAAATCCCACCTCAAAACTCACCTTTTCAGACAGGCATACTCCCTTTAATCTGGACTGGAACGACCTCACTGTTGCACTTTACTGCTGTTTTATGTATTGCGTTATGCATT